GTGTGTGTGTGTGTGTGTGTGTGTGTGTGTGTGTGTGTGTGTGTGTGTGTGTGTGTGTGTGTCTCACTTCTTGGAGGGGCTGATCTCTACTATCGACATGTTCTTCTCCATGGTAAGGCACTGCCATAGATATATGTGTGTATGGGTATGTGTTTGTGTGTGTGTGCATGTGTTTAGTCTGTGTGTATGGGTGTGTATTTGTTTGTCTGTATGTGTGTCTGTGTGTGTTAGTTTGTGTGCTTGTTTGTCCATGTGTGTAAGTTTGTTTGTGTTGTGTTCTTAGGCCATGTAACTGCAACACTTTTTCAAAGAGCAAATCTTACAGTTTTACAGTGTTGGGAAAGGTTCTACTAATGTGTGTGTATGTATGTTTGTTTCTTGGCTTGTATGTCTCTGTCGTAATAGAATTCAAGGTTCTCTAAAAATCAATGGTCATCAATCCATAATTCAAAATTTCATTTTGATGTTAGATCAACAGAAAGGCTACTGTCTATTTGCATAATGTTGTCTGCATTTGTATTGCCTGTCATTCAAGTTAAGTGCTGAACATAATTAACGTATTTAGTTTTCTTTGAAAAATTTAGTTTGCATTTATTTATTTTTAAATATCAGCTCTAATTTGTACCTTTGAAGTTGTTATTGATAAGACAGATTACTTTTCTTAAGACCATTAAAGCATTTCAGCGTATACGTGAATTAACTTTTAATTAATCTTTTATTCCTTGTAATGTTTGTTTTATGCTTAATGTGTGTGTTTGCTTGCTCCCCAGTTCTACCACGCGTGCGACACGGACCATGTGTACTCCCTGTGTATCATGCCCTACAACGCGCTCAGCTTCGGGGACTTCTTCGCATCGCTACTGTCTTTCTGGGTGACCCTGCTGGCCATGGCACGCATCCCGACGGGTGTTCGTTCGTTCTTCCACATGCTTGGGGCTCTTTTTATCTCCGTTGGGGAAGTCTACAATAGGCATGGCCTCTTGGAACAGTTACTGCCCATTTTAGGGGGTGTGGTCATCGTCGTTGTGTCCTGGGTAAGTTGTGAGAGATCGTTTGACAACATTTACTGTGTACCTCAAACACGATATCTGAAGGTTAATGGAGAGGTTGTTGTTTCAGAGGAGTGGCGTCATTAGTCTAGTTGTTAGGCTGCTGTATCTGCTATTGTGAGATTGTGGGTTTGTAGGGTTCAATGCTAAGCTCGGTCCAATGTTTTTCTTGGGAAAAGCACTTTCTATTTGGCTCAGTTGTATGAGAAATAAATTTTTAATTTGGAGGTTCTATGCCTGAAATAACCTGAAATGATTGCGAGGGGTGTTAAGCTTATTCAGTTTCGAACATTTGATTCGGAGCTGATTTTTTAGTATCACTTGGTTATTTCTGTAGTTTTATACGGGGTGCCCACTACGGCTGGATCGGGCCAATCGCCGGACTTGGTCGCCTGAAACTTAAATCAAACACGTTTGTTTTTGAGGCAATCGAGTCGGGCGATCGGCCCGATTGGCCGATCCCATTCGTAGTAGGCACCCCGTATTAGCAGTCACTGAGATTTAACAACTTATTGCTACCTACAACCAGCTACACTTACTTTTTTTGGGCATTAAAGCATTCTATGACCTTCTGTCAGTCAACATGCTTTTCTTTTGACAAATTGAGCCTATATTTACATTGTCAAAGGTGCCAAAAAGGAGTCTTAATACTCTGACATACAGGACTCGTATTTGTTATACTTTTCAGTGGATGAATATTCTGTAGTTTGGAACAAGTATCATTGCATGGCATATATGGTTAGATGGCTTCACTTGTGGGCTCAACTTCTTTACTATGTCCTTATTGCTTTTTGTTTCTCCTGTTTTTCTGTCCCCACTTTTTATTAATCTTTTTCTATGGTTGTATGCCTCACTTTGACAAAAGAGACAGACTGCAGCTTCTAATATTTATTTTATAAGAAGTTTCCTCTTGGGCTCACAGATGTTTTGTAATCGTTAAGTAGGATACTCTTCTTCTAGTGCCCTCTGACTTAAATATTTATGGACCTTTCCAGGGCGTTCAGTCTTACCGCTTAAAGCATCTGTTCCCCTCACGACGGCGCCTTATGTTCTTCATCGCTCCTGGTGTGCTCCTGGCAAGTCTGGGTCTCATCTTTAACCTGGCACTGGAGACAACGGAAAACTACAAGTATATCCACAGTGTGTGGCACTTGCTGGTCTCCGGGTCCATTGTTTTCCTGTTGCCACCTCGACGTGGACAGAAGCGTAAGTGAAGACACCTTTGATGTTAAGAATGAAAGGGCTTGAGTTTTGTTTCTCATTAAATAGGATGATTTTGTATATTTATTAGTTGGTTTAGAATATGATTTACACCTCTTTTGAAAATTTAAAAGATCAATTCTTTTGTTTTTTTAATTACATTTTATACCTGACTTGAGGGTCCTGCATTAGTGTGGTTATCGGTATTTGTAGAGAAATGACTTTGCAGAGTTATTTGTCACCTGACTCAATGAGAACATGTATCATCTCCAGTCAATAAAAATCACAATTCTCTACCAATTTTGTACTTGGTGTCAAATGGTTGTGGGTTTCTTATATTTCCCATATCTCTAACTTGTCTAGGTGACGGCTCCTCGGAGTTCCTTTCTGTACAGTCTGGTGACATCACACGTCCAAGTCTGATCGACGATGCTGCACAGCCAAACATCCACAGTGCCGATGACACTGGACTCCTGTCGGACACCCCTTCTCCCCCGGCAACGCCAAATGGTGCTGTTGGTGGTGGAGGTAATAGCAGAGACCGCGGGTTCAAGCTGATGAGCCGACCCAGAGGGAACCGCAACCTAGTGCTGTAATGGTCTCTCACGGGGTAACACCTTTTAGCAGAAAAGTTCTGGAGAATTGAGTGTTCTCTTCTTTTTGCTGCTCGTAACAACTATTTCTGGTCGTCCTAGTGTAGTGAATAAGGTTTCGTAAAGTTCACTTTCAGAAGGTCACCTGTTTACTTCTTGGCCCCACCCTCTAGGATGCTGCATCCTTTCAAAAGATAGTGTACCTAATTTTTATCCATTCATCCTGCTCCTAAATGAGAAATGCTTGTGACTATCATTGAAAAGGAAATTTATGTGCATAATAATTATAACAATTGTTTGTCATTGTCTGACAGTGACCAGTGCATGTGCAGAGAAGAATAATTCCCAAACAAAACAAGAAATAAGGATTTAGACGACTTGTGGCTTCTGCTATGGCAGTAGGATCAATCCGGACAGTGAACAGTTTGCCACATTTGAAGCAGTTAAAAGCTTCATGTGGATGTGTGCAGCTTGTGGGTTCTTCCCTGGGCTTCAGCATTTCTAATGAATAAATGATAATGGTATATGCCTACTTGGTGGCAACCATTTATGTCCCTGGGGGAACCAGTTGATGCTATGGAAAGAACTTGCTGGTCAGGGGAGCTTTTTTGTTTAATTGTCTTTCTTTCTTCGGAGTTGTACAAGAACACATCTCTTCAACTTTAACTCAATTAAATGTCTTAGATTTTATATATATTCCATCTCAATGTTTCTTTCCGAAGAAGGATCCAGTAATTTATGGAAATCCAGCAAGGTACACATGACATGCTTTGTGACAGTTACAAACTCATATCCTTTGGTGCTTGTTGTCCAGCTTAAAAAAAAGTCAGATTTACCCAAGATGATTTTTATGTAGACAATATTTACAACTGTATCCACATTATCTTTTAAGTACTTTTTATGTGTCCTAACGCTTCCTTTTTTTTTTTCAAGGTTGTAGTCAACATGAATGAGCTTTGACTTTTTCTACTTTTTAGTAGTTACTGTAGTCTAAGATTAGTGTGCTACGTATTCAAGACTGTCCACATGCTGTAGACTTTTTCAAACAAGAAATTCCCATGCCACAAAAGGATTTCAAATTCCTTGGGTTTCCCCCTCTTTATTTTATGCATTGCAGCTTTCTTTTATACAAACTCTGCTTTACATAAACCAATTCTCTGAAGCCTTGAAGTTATGTCCTGTCTTGTTTCAGAGTTGGCGTATCACCTCCATTCTCTTTAAATCCACCATTATTTTTGATGCAGTGTAAATATTAAATTTACTGATAATTTATTCTTAAGCTATCTTTTTGCTTTTTAGAGCTTTTGAGATGAGAATGATGACCAAGGTCTTCAATATACAGGGTTTCTGTGTGCACAGCTTCCTCAACCTGTCAATCGAAAACATTATTAGAAAATTTTTGCTAGAACGCTGACACTAAAGGTAATGGGCATCATTTTGATGCTTATGTTATAAGTCCCTCAAAGCATTCATTTTACTTGATACGTTACACAAGGCTTTAGAACTTTAAAGATGTTTTAAGTGTAACAGGTTTGTGATTTAAATTTATGCATGAGATTGTTGAAAGATATGTAGCACTTAAAAGATTTGAACTGTTACATGGAAACATGGAAAAAGGTTTGAAGAGGGGGGGGGGGGATTTTTCTGAAATTCATTCCTTTACAGATACTGAGGGCCAACTGGAGCAGCAATTTTGGGTTGTGATAAATTAGAATTTATTTAATCCAGTACCTATGTTAACTTGAGCTTATTATTGTACATAGAAAGGTGGATGTCAATCCTTGTTCTTGTTGTTCTTGAAGTCCTTTGAAGTCCATATGTTTCTTACATTGTGTGGGACTCGTCACTTTTCAGAAAACCTAAACATTCATTTGAGTTTTTCTGAAGGGTACATAGCTATTTTTCTTGGAAAGTGAAAGTTTTTTTTTTTTAATATGCAATTTGTATATTTGTAGGTGGTACAGTTTCTACATCACAAGTGAGAAACTCACCATTTTTGGTGACCTTCACCTTTGAATGGTCGACTGAGCCAGTTTTTAAGAATGTTGTGTGCTGTGGAGGGGCTTTAAGGCTATGTTATATCTTCTCACTTGCCCTCAAAGGAAGTTAACCACAAAATCTCCTCGTTCCTCTGTGGTGTGTTGTTTTATTTTGTGTAGCAAAACGTCAGAATGAGTTGTTTGTTTCACCAGCTGTTTCCAGGTTAAAAAAAACCAAAGTTATTTTTCTAAATCTCCGTCTTCAAGCGAATGTAACTTTGTAATCAAAGCAGCAAGAATTATGTTATTTTCACCCACCTTTGGGGTTTGAACAACTCGTTAATCTGATACTACTCATGTTATATTCTTGAAACGCAGCACGTGACTCATTTCATCATTTTGCTACACCTTTTTCTATGTCACTGGTTACAGGCTTCATTGAACTATAAATGATAATGTTTGAAGTAGAGCTTCCATAGAAGGGTTCCAGTTCTGATTTTTGTGAAATGTGGAAGATTGTTTGAATATTTAGATAATTTTATAGCAACAAAAAAAAATTGTCTATAAACCCTGTGTTGTTTCTGAAAGAAAGCTTGAAAAAATCAAGATTTTATCAAACAGAAATACAAGTTCTGTTGTAGAAATAAAAGTTCTATATTTATCTAAAGGTGGGTATGTTTCTTAAATCTCGGGATAGGATTAAGCTTACTAGTCAATATAATTGGGTTTTTTTATGGTCAGTGGAGTGCTACTGTTAAAAAAGTGAAACCAGATGTGTTATTTTTTGTCTTTTTTGTTCAGTTTCTGTTTGTGTATACACATATCAATGATTACGTGAAGAAGAGAATTGTTTGCTTCACTTTTTATATTTTTCTTATGTGGCTTCTCTGTTCAGGATGAGTTGTCATTATCTATGTTTCTAAATACAATGCTCAAATTTTAGAAAAGATAAAAGGACTGTGATTTTATCTGTTATGTTTTGCCCAAATGAAAACCACAGCTGCAATAAATTTGACATTTTTATTTAATGGATGTAGATATTTGACTGATATGATTTTTGTTTTGGACATAATATGTGTTTGTGCCTGGTGATAGGTTCCAAATGACGCATTTTGGAGAATCATGGTTTTTTTTTGCATGTTCATGTACAGAGATCATTTCTGAACAATATGCTTTTTGAATTTTTAAGATATCTTCAGTAGTTTTTGAGATATGGGTGATTTTGTAAGGCAAGGAAGGGAAACAAAGTTTTGAGAAAAACGACTTTGAAGTTTCACCTTTGTTTCGGCTTCAAATAGATAGATCTACGTTTCGAGACGACCTAACATTACTAACAACACATTTGCTACTCACAAGCCAACTTTAAAGAGCAACTAAGATAAAAGAACAGCCTCAAGAGTTAATATTACGTCTTCAAAACAAATTCACCACCACCTTGATCAAGAATTTTCAAGAAATTAGATCTAGGTTTGCTCAGGGCAGAATTAGGCGATACAATTACAAATTTGCTTTCCTAAAGAAACGAAAGGGTGTGGATGCACAAAGCTTTGCTTTGTTTCCATGTTCTAGATATTCATGCACACTACTCGGCATTAGGCCTACCTAAATTTTGGTATGCATTGTGATTGGGTCGACTGTATGAATGAACAAGAGAAACCATCCACAGTGTTTACCAATTCTCTCACGCATTTTTAGGATTATGCTATGTACCTCGTGTAAAAAAAGTATCTTTAAAAATGTATTTTAAAGTAAAAGAAACTCACATATTTTTAATGGAACTTAGTTTTTGTCAAAAATTCTATTTGACCTCGGTTCGAACAAATGCATCTTTTGGTACCCTTCACCAAGCACGCTCACATAATGTGAAACGATCAATTTGTTTTGTGCTTTGGTTAACTCATTATGCTGCCTGAATGCTGTTTCCACGGAGGAATGGCTCCGTCATAATAATTATTTGTATTATTTCATGTTGCCTACTGTTATTTTTGTGACACTGAAATATATTTGAGTCAAAACCAGGAGTTTATAGCCAGTTTCATTATTAGTCTGCTTTATATAGAGAACCTAGCAGGTTTATTGGGTTTTTTTAAAGTCTAAAGTGTTGATCGAAAAAAGCCAGCCTGTTTGTGTCCAATGGCAACAATAGTGTTGGGCAGTGGTGCAGGCAAAAGGAATGCCCGGGTAACGCTTCCCACGAAAAAATGTGACAGATGTTTTTGAAAAATTTTGATCTTGTTGTTGGTCGCAATTAACTCTTGACTCCAGCTGGTGAAAATAACAATGACGATGCTGACAAAACAGTGCTGAAGCTGACCAGACTTTGAGTGGGGTAGTAGATGAGTCCTTCGTTGGTTGTAACCTGCCCCCAATGTCTAGACCTAATGCTAGCAATGTCAACAAAGCTGGTTCAATTGCTAGCACTAGTAGTAGAGTGATAAGATCAGGAGCAGCGACAGGAACTGCTTGTAGATCTAAGTCAACTGTCAATGGAAACTGGTTTGGGGTTAACTGCAACGTTACATGTGTTTCAGTTTCTCCAAATTATTGAACAAAATCTGTGCTGGAATACCGCGATCAGTAGTATGGCTGAAAAGAGGATTTACATGTTAACATTTCTCTTGTACGTCAGTCTGCATTTTATGAATTTTGTCGACAGCACACTGGATGAATGTCAACAAATTAGTCAAATTTATTAATTTATAGAATTTACTATTCCCCTCTTTTGCATAATTGCTTTTATATAATACACTGTGTATCCACTGAATTTGTGATAGCTCCTTCAGTTACTTTCTCCGCAGTTTCAAATATGATATATTTTTAGGTGTGCTGACAGAACGAGTTACTTCTCGCAATCCACAAACGGAGATACTAGCCAAAAATCGTCATTAGGGTCAAATATGAAGATTTTCTATTGGTGCCATATACTTTAACTTTAACCTGTCTTTTATTATTTCTTACCTTATAAATTGTAAAAACTTCATGTCTTAGCGTGATGCATCTATTGACTTAAGGATGGAATCCGAGAGGTAACTCATTTTGTCAGCACACTTCACATATATTATAATATTATATGTATAAAAACACATGTCAGCAAAGTTAGTTTCAATAAGGTACTGTTTTTTTCAATGTAATAAGCTTGCCTCAGTTAATTAAGTCTGCTGGTGAAATGAGAAAATTAGTTGAAAAAATTTTGGGTGCTCAAAGAGCTAATTATATATATGGGGCGCAGCATGGTGGTATCAGGCTCTCGTCAAAATCGCCCAAGTGAAGAAACTTGCATTTTTCCGCAGGTTTGTGAATTTTTATCAAATTTTTGTTTTTTGGATCAACACCTTTCATGCCCATCAAAGAACTCATTTCTGTGAGGATTTTTCTGAAAAGTGTTGATTAAAGGCACAAAAATGTAAATTTTCAGTTACCATGGACTCTTAAGCTTAGGAAATAAGTAATCTTTGGCGGCCATTTTCTCGCTAATTTTACCTCTGAAAACAGGTGATCCTCACCCCCTTCTTTCGCTAATATTTTGACTTGTATCTAAGATAAATGGATGTTTTTTCATCTAAATAAAAGACAAGTGAACAAGCTTTAAGAGGATACTAATAACTCTAAATGCCCAAAAATTGACGAGAGCCTGATTCCACCACGTTGCCTCACATATTTTTATTTTTTTTATGGTCTTTTCTTTTTTCTTTTCTCTTTTTTTTGTAGCTCCTGTGCAATATTTTCTCTTAGAGTTTTGAGTATATCGATATTTAATTTCACAACATTTCTTTGTCAATGAATTCATTTATTTCTTATTTTTCCTTCTGCGGGTGTTGGGAGAGTGTCAGGAGGAAGTTCTATTTCTTTCCTTTTTTTCTGTTTGTTGTTTTTGTCTGTTCTGATTATGGAATAAATTATCCCTGTTTTATTATTGAGCTGTTGTTGTTTTGACTCCTCAAATTCTTATTGTCCTGATTGAAGTTCAGAAGATTGTACGAAATGTATGCTATGTGATGTCTGGACCATATTTTCTATTATTCAAGCTCCTGTCTAAAAGCATCAACCGCATGTATACATCTGATATGAAACCCGATAAACCATTATTTGTTTTCTGTGCATTTCCTTTCACTGTGAAATGGCCAGTGTGTCTCTTTCTCAGATATATAGCTTGTTTTTTTACACTTTTATAGCACTGACATTTGAATTAGGCCTCAGTGCTATCTCTCTTTGTTGCTAGAGTGCTGTCTCTCTGTGGCGTTGATAACCTAGTGGTTAGGCTACCGGACTTTGTAATCGTGAGGTTGCGGGTTCGGGGGTTCGAGCCGCAGGCCCGACGTTATGTCCTTGGGAAAGGCACTTTACAGGAATTTTCCCCACTTCACCCAGGTGAAAATGGGTACCCAGCTATAGACAGTGAAAGATCTTTCCAGTTTGTCAGTGTTTGAGCACTTAACCAGCCGCTTGCACTGTATGCTTCCCGGGAAGCTGAGAATGTTTCTGAGTGTTCTGTGGTCTGCTGGGGTAATAATATAGTGTAAAGTGCATTGGGCTTGCTTTCGAGTAGGGATATGTGCTATACATATGCTATTTATTATTATTATTATTATTATTATTATTATTTGTGGCTAGAACTGTAAAGTTTCCACCAAGTGGTTTGGAACTATGGCGAAACGTCAACAACAATTTAAGCATTTCTCCGTAATGTGCAGAAAACCTTGCCTTTGATGCCTGTGTAGGGAGAATTTTTGTCTAGTATCCCCATGTTTCTGTTAGGACATTGTATCTGTCTCAGCCCAGGCCGGCCCTGAATGGCAGGGTTGAAGCCCGCCACCTAGATGATCTGAATTTTATCAGTGGGGGCTTAAAATACCTAAATATTTAAGAAATGTTTCAGGAATTCTAACTGGCTGTTGCTTTAATTTCTGATATGGTGGTCAATCATGACCTTCAGTAAGAAAAATGCGAATGTCAAAATGCTGTCTCATTTGTTACGCCCTTTGACAACCAAAACCGAGAATGTCATCCGATGTAAGTCGCGATAATGATTTAGTTCTTTATAGTTTCTTCACTTAATTTCATTTCTCTCAAGGTTTCAATTTCTAGAGTACCTGCTTATGGACACAGTGCTCACACAACTTATATATTTTTTAATCTTTAAAAATTTCAACAGCATTTTGTGTGTCATGCTTATTGATCACTTCTCTCTGACTGGGGATCAGGCTGTCAGGTCATTTAAGATTGACAATTTTGAAGTAGACAAAAAAGTAGTGTTGCATAGTGGATGGGGAGCCACTTTGGAAAAACTGCAACTTCAGATAAATCTACATTGCTTGTCAAGTTACTGGACAAGATCTACATTGCTTGCTAAAATAATGGAAACATTGCTTGCAACCTCTTTCTATGTAAAAACTGGTTGACTTTTTGTAATTTATCCAGGGTTATTTCAGTTTCTTTTTTGCCCATTGAATTAAAAAGTAATGTTTGGTGATAATTGACATCCTCTCTCTGTATGCAAATTATTTGGATAGTCATGCCCTACCAATTAAACCTTAATTAATTGTGGGAGTCTTGGGAAATACTTATGGGCCTCTGCCCCATAAGATAAAGGGAAATGCTTTCTTAAAAAGGAAATGAAGAAATTTGCCAGTCGTCAAGATTACACAATGCTTATACATGTACTTGAAACTATAACACAACCATGCTGCAATCTATGAATCTTTTTATCATGTATCCTGAAATATGAAAATTGCGTCCATGAGCATAGAACTATGTGTGTTATTCGTCCATATAATAAACAACCTAAGTTTTACCATGAACATACTTTGCATGATGGCCCTGATGTATTTTATTTTGCACATGAATTTGGGGAATGGGACAGGGGCATCACTGCTAAGCCTACTTCATAGCCTTCTGGCAGGAAGTGCATCCCTTTACTTGAATGTTTATGTTTGGATTTAATGTAAATGTTCTTATTTTCTTCTTTGGTGTTTTGTTTCTGGCATCTGATTTTTCTTCTACCATTTTACTTTTCCTGTGTGGTGTGGTTGGGGGGGGGGTGCTCTGGTGTAGTT